GGTGGGCTGTGGAAGGTTTTAACAAGAACAGAGCCTTGGCTATTTGGCTTCAGCTCCAGCTTCCCCACCTCCCCTAAAACTACACTTGCTGAGAGACACTCAGTCCAGTGACACTTGTCCCAGCTGACCATTCTCCTTCATGAAATGTCCCTTCCCTCAGCTCGACTCTGTCCTTGTTCCTCTGCAGCTGTTTCTTCATCACCTGACCTGAAAAGAGTGTGAACAGATAGGCCTCAGGCCTAGGCCCCCTGACGGTCTTCATGCCACTCTCTCCAGGTAATCTTATCCTCTTCAGTGATTTCTGTACCCTCGGCCAGACCTTTGCCTCCAACTCATAGTCCACCTGCCCCAGATATCTCCATCTGGAGGTCTTATGCAACACATCCAAACCTGAACACATCCCCTCCCCCAAAACTCGCTCCTCCATGTGTTGCTAGTCTCAGTTAACGATGCCAACTTCCCACCTCAGGCTCTCACTTACTGTTCTCGCTGCCTGGACACCCCTCCTTCAGTTCGTTTCTCAGCTGCTTCTTGACCTCAAGTCATCTTCACTGTCACTTCCTCCAGAAGGCAAGCATGATCCTCCCAATTGGGCCAGGCCCTTTTATTTATTTATTTATTTATGTTCTCAAAGCATCCTGCACTACCTTGTAGAACTAAATGCGCTTTTAGTAATTATCTTCCTCTGCCTTCCTGAGGACTCTATCGCTTGCATCCAGCAGAGGACCTGGCACAGAAGGACTGAATGAATGTTGCAGTAAGGGAGTAAAGGGCTTTTGAGGAAGAGAAGGATATGGAGCTAACGGGGAAGTCACAGATGACCTGGGTGTACCCAGATATACCCAGGTGTACAAGTTACTCTTCATTCCAGGAGTCAGATCTGGAATCTTAAAAAAAAAGAAAATATATATACAGCATGATCCTCAAAAATCCCCATCCCCCAGTTTGAGTGGACAGTTTTCCTACTATAGACTGACAAATGTTTGCTGATGCATATATGCTGGGCCCTGTGGGCCCTGAGATGGCCAGCCCCAGTCCATCTCCTAGGCTTTCACCCTTTGGAGAGGCAGACCCGTTACTCACAAATGCAATCGAGACTTCTGGCAGTTCTGAGGGGCACAGGGGAAGCAGACAGTTCTGCCTGGGTCACCTCAGGGGGTACTCAAAGGCAGAGAAGGTGGAGAGGCCTTGTGGCCAGGTGGGCCTGTGCAGGTGCTCTGCTGAGGTAGGAGGGAGATGAACCAGAGCAGGTGCAGAGGGTTCTTCATCTCCCAGTGACCTGAGGGCAGACTGCAAGGGCAGAAAGATCCCTGCTTAGGGCCCAGCGGGCCATTCTTGAGCAAGCTGGGTCAGACATAGGAAGGGACTTGAACCACAATTTAAGCACCAACCCAGGGACTCAGGAACTTCTGGCCCATATTGGGACTTGCTGAGTGACCCTGCCAACATCCTTCTTGGTCTGTCTGCCCAAGCAGAAGCTGCATCCGGGCCTTGCAGGGTACCCTGCACAATGATAGCAAGTGACTCCAGGTCTGTCTTAAAAGATTATTGGCAGCAGGGCCAACAGATGGGGAGCTTGGACTAAAGCTGTGCTTGAGAAGCAGCAGCTGGTTTCCAAGATGTGCCCCTATCTTGGGCCTGACTGTGCAATTGTAGCTGCCAAGTGCTGGGCAGGGTGTAATCAGAAGGGCCAATTAAACTGTACACTCTTCTTGCTCTGAATACATGAGAGGCAGCAACCGGTAGGAATAGTGGATAGCAACATGGAAAGATCTAGCAAATAGGAAAAGAACTTGTAACATTGCAGAAGGCTTCCAGCTGTGTTAAATGGGCTTGTGTGGTCCCAACACTTGGAGAGGTCACAGACTGAATGCGTCTGGGGGCCCGTCGTGTTATTTTTGTGAAGATCATTTCGGTATCCAACAAATAGTCAGAAAAAGAGAAGCCTACTACTGGTAGAGTCAGTCACTGGCTTGTCTCTTTTTTTCAGAATAAGGGCTTTCTGTTATACTAGTGCCTTGGGATAGCCCTATTGCATCCCCTGGCAGAAGGAGAAACGCAGAGACAGAAGTCTGGCTTCCCACAAAAACAAGTGGATGCCATACACTGCAGATAAAAGGGCATTCAGCACAAGAGAGTCCCGGATAGAGCAGGAGAAAGGTGGGGTGCAGAATTCAAATCCTAGTAAGAAGACCAGACTTAATGGTCTGAGACTGGAGGTATCCCGGAAAGCATGGCCCCTGGATTCTCTATCAACCCAGAACTAAAACAATTTCCGAGGCCAACTCTTCACAGGGATTGGACTGGACTGTGGGACATAAAGTGATACTCGTGAGGAGTGTGCCTCTTGGCTCAAGTAGATACAAGAGACTAAACGGGCAGCTTCTGTCCAGAGGTGAGATGGGAAGGCTGAGAGGGTTAGCAGCAGGCTGAATGGACACGGGGAATCAGGGGTGGAAAGAAGGAATGTGCTGTCACACTATGGGGAGAGCAATTAGAGTAACGTAACAATGTACGTATAAATTTTTGTATGGGAAAAAAAAATTAAAAAAATAAATAAATAAAGGACGTTCAGGCTTGGCCAGGACACTGGCCATGGGGGAGGGGAGAGGGCTTAAGATTAGCGGGAAAGGTGTTCCAGGCCCACGCTGAAGGAAACACACACAGTTCTCCTCACCCCTGGCACTTTATTAGTGGAGAGATTTGTCTTGGTCTGGGAGGGGAGGCTGGGATGGACAGGACAAGCGCCCACGTTGGGGGTCTTTCCCGGACATCAGGCGTTCCTCCATTGAGGTTTAGAGAGAACACCCTCACTGATGAAACCCCCACGGAAAGTAGCATAGTGACTGCCAAGCAGCCTGGGAAAGCGGGGAGGGGCGCCCTAGGCACTGCTGGGCCCCTTAGACAGCAGGGCTTCGATATCGGCCTCGATGTCGATAGTTGGGAAGCGGCGGCTGTACCTGCGAACAGGCACACCGTCGGGACCCACTAGGAACTTCTCGAAGTTCCAGGAGATGTCGTTGCGGCACACCGGAGACCAGATGATGAACTTGGGATCGGTCATGAGTGCAGTGGCATCGTCGCTGGGCGCCGGCAGGGCCTCCCGCAGAAAGGCGAAGAGCGGGTGTGCCTGTGCGCCGTTCACCTCGCACTTCTCGAAAAGCGTGAAGTTGGGCTCGAACCCGCCGCCTGGTCTTACGTACTTGAGGCAATTCAGGATCTCTTCGTTTTTGGCGTTCTCCTGCGAGAGAGAAGGGCGGCTGGGACCTGGGGCCGCGAGGGGCGGGGAAAGTCTTCCGACCGCAACAAGGAGTTCTTCGATGACCCAAGCTGTTGCTCTCTTTGCACAACTCCAGGGCAGGCCTGAATTCCAGCTGACTAGAGCGCCCAGAGGGAAGCGAGCCATTGGCCCGTCTCTCCGCGCTCAGTGCCTGAGGCTGCCCGGCCCAGCGGCCGCCCCGCCGGCGCCCCCAACCCCAGTTGCACACCCACCTCCGCCCCGCCCCTCCCGGAGCACCTGATGGCCAAACTGGTTGCACGGGAAGCCGAGCACGACCAGGCCCCGGGGGCCGAGGCGCCGCTGCAGATCATTCATCTGGGTGTAGTCCCGGACCGTGGTGCCTCAGAGCGACGCCACGTTCTCGATGAGCAGCACCTTGCCCCGCAGCGAGCCCAGGCTCACTGGCTCCCCGCCGGCCAGGCGGCGAGCAGAGAAGGCGTGCACCGAGCGCGGGACTGCCGCCGCGAGGGCGGCTACGTCCGCGCCTAGAGCTGCACACATGGCGCCGGTACAGCTCCGGAACCAGAGCGTCGGGACGGCTCAGGGGGCCACGTCCTTTTAACTAGCAGATAGCATGGTCACGTGGCGCAGGCACTTTTCCAGCCACTCCGCCCCTTCCGGGCCCCAGGGTCCCGCCCCCCCCGGCAGGGTACCCGGAAGGCGGGCCGGTGCTGGCGCGGCCGGGCCGGACGCGGGCACCACCCAGGCCAGGCGGAGCAACAGACACGTTTGGTTCACAGCAGGGTAGAGCTGGCACCCTCGCCTAGGGGCGCCCTCGGCACCTTTCTCCTGGGCCCTCTAGGACTACAGATCCTTTCTCAAAGGTTCCTGAGGGCATAGAGCCGGCCCGTGGAGACTGGCCGACTGTGGTAGCGGCGGCGGCGGCGGCAGCAGCAGCCGCAGCAGCAGCCGCAGCAGCGGGCGCCGCTTGTGTCTACCCGGCCCACCCTGTGCCGTGTTACACTCTTAGCATGTGCTCTATTGTCGCCAGATGCATGCAGCGAGTCGTGACTTGTGATGGTGTGGTTGCCAGCGGCCGCCCAGGCAGGTTCTTTCCCTACCAAGGCTCTGTTGTAGGAAAGGCAAGATGGGGGAAGCACGGGCAATTCCGGGGGCAGCCAGGCCTCCAGGCTTACGGTGATCCCAGCCTCAATACAAGCGCCCCTTTTAACTCACGTCCCCCGCGCTCTGGGGCTGACAGGAGGGCCTTCACCTCCGGTCTCCCTCCTCCTTTGCTGCCCCCAGTGCACCACCCTTAGAACAGATTTGTGTTCAGGAGAGCCCTAAGGCTCCAGCCGGTGGAAAAGGGAAATGGGGCCTATCAGCACCCAGGGCTGAGGGAACCCAACCAATCTCAGGCCATCTTCATCCCTAGTCTACTTTATCTGGAGCTCAGGCCTGGAAGTGAAAGACATTGAAAAAGGATAGGGAGTACAGGAAAAGGTTATACTCCCTGAGATTCTTCCAGAAGAATGACTGCCTGAAGTGTCCCCCTTGTCTCAGTAAACTGCATTCCCACCCACACTCTGAACTTGAATGTGACACAGCATTAAGTGTTTCCACATTCTTGGGAGAAGCTAGGTTAGTAATGGGTGGGAAAACGGAAGCAAGTGGCACTTTGCTGTCTTTAGGGAACCTCTCCAGGGTAGGCTAGGCCAGGTGGCTGAGTCCTTCCATTCTCCTGCTCCCAACCCTGGAGAGAGCAACACAAACACCAGGATACAGGAAGTTTAGAAAACTGCCTTTATTCTATTAGTAGTTGGAAAAATTAACTGGTACAGAAAAAAAGTTTAGTCAGCTGGAGAGAAGAGAGAAACTGAGTGCCGCCCAAGAGGACTGGTGGCTCCTCTGGGAGGGAACCTGGACATAGTGGAGAAAGCACTGTGAACTAGAGCCAGACCCTGCAGTCCAGGTTAGACAGGTTACACCACCTTCCAAAGTGTCTAACTGCCTCAGGTGTGAAACCAAATTCCTATATACTTAGCCCAGCTCTGGGGAGGGGGCACTAGGATAAGTGGGGCTGAAAAGGGGTCATATGGCCATCTTTTATCAGAGAAACTGACAAAACGGGAATTTTTAAAAGGAATTTTCCATCTGACTTTATTTTCAAATACACTTTCTTTTTTAAAAAACCAATACACTTTCTGCGGAGATGACAAATATCAGTATTAGGAAATCCAATTATACAAAAAATACTACATCTAGTCTCGGGTAGATATATTTATTTTTGGTAACATACATTAAGTGGCACTAATTACACAGTAACTATAAGGTAACTAACATGAAACCACAGAACTGTAACTATGCCACAGCTGCATGGACTTGGGCCTTTCTGGCTGAGCACATTTTCAAAAAACTGGATGCCCACTTCAGAGCTATGCCAATGAAACCCATTTAGGAGGAATGTTCTGAAGTGGTGACTCACTAGAGTATCTTGCAGCTGACAGAAAAACAGGCAGGACATGTTAGTTATAAAGTAGTTACAGCCTAATTCACAAAAGTTACCAACTTTTTCTCTTTCTAGAAAGAAGCAAGAAGAAATCCCTTGAATTAGCGCCTGGTGTGTCAGGTGGGAGTGCAGAGGAGGGCTGTTAGAGCAAGTGTCAGAGGGACCCTGGTGGGCCAGAGGGGCTGGACATCATTAATAATCATGGTTGGCTTCTAAATACTGGTAGCAAGATGACTTCTGATTTGTAATCTTAGGTAAATTATAGATAAATGAAAAAGGCCAGTAATCATACACTAAGATTAATAAACAGCACTTCAAAATTAACCGCATGAGGGCTGTGCTTGCAGCGAGGTTTCACAAAACAAGGCACCCAGATTTTTTCTTCCCACGTCTGGCTTGCAGAGCCGCTCTCGTGGCCATTTCAAAAACCTCCCTCACTCCATCTTTGGTCTTTGCTGAACACTCCATGTACCCAAAAGCACCAATCCTGTTTGCCATGTCTCTGCCTTCTTCGGGTTTTACCGGCTCCTGGCAAAGAGAGAAGAGTGCTTTCAGTTAACAGTGTCACAGACGTGTAGTAAGCAGGCACACAGTATTCAAAGTCAGCTAGCAGGCTTCTTTTCAAAGTCGCCAAACTCCCAGATCTGAGCTCTGTCTTATGGAATTCTGAAACTGATATGCAGTGACTGCCCCCCAAAATATAAAATCCCCATCAAATGATCTCCTCTCTGGGAAGTAGAGACAAAGAAGGGAGAGATCAGAGGAGCCCTGGGAGATTCATGAAGGAATCAAGGACAAAACTCAAGCTGCTCATCCAGGGTGTTGTGGATTGAACTGCATTCCCTAAAAATATGTGTTGTAAATCCTAACCACTATGCCTGTGGTTATAATCCCATTTGGGAATGGATTGTCTTTGTTATGTTAATGAGACAGGATTAGTGTAGGGTGTATCTTGAGTCCATCTCTTCCCTGAGATATAAAAGAAATTGAACACAAGTTAGCAAGCCGATATGGGGGAAGTGAGATGCCAAGACACATGAAGACTGCCCAGGAGCAGAAGCTCAGAGTCAAGGACGTTCCTCCAGAGCCAACAGAGAAAGACAGCTGTCCCCTAGAGCCGGCACCCTGAATTCAGACTTCTTGCCTCCTAAACTGTAAGAAAATAAATCTGTTTGTTAAAACCACCCGTTTGTGGTATTTCTGTTACAGCAGCACTAAACTATGGCACAGGGTCAGCCCTCAGATCTTCCTGTAGTTAGCTTCACAGAGGACTGACTGCTCATGAAAAGTAATAGATCCCAATCTTGACATTCAGACAGAAATCTCAGTAGGAGAAACTACGCTACCACTCAGGTGAAGATCTCAGCACACTCCTGCAGGGAGGAAGCCCTGCCACTAGGCCACCGGCCTGTAGAGAGGACAAGGTGTCACTTCCATCATCCTTTTTATAAAGGCATTAGGGATCTCTGCCCGTGGCTGTACTCCCTGCCCTCAAGATTTCCTGATCCTTCTGTTGCCAATAACGTTATCTTTGGCCTCACATCTACCAAGGTTATAACTGAAGAGGAAAAAAAACCTGATGTTCCTGCCTCTGGGACACTGACTATTGCTGTGATGGCTCCTTCTGAGGCTGGCAGTCTTTGAGGACACAGCATTACCCCACAGGAGGCACCACATCTCACAAGACTGAGGGGCTTTAAGGACACTCTGTGCAGGCCCCAGTCGATGAGGGATGAAGAAAAGAGGGACGTCTGAGCCTTCCTCTGAAACAGCCTGGCCTGTGAGGGTTTCTGATGGGTCCCTGGAACCTCTACTCTTGGGGCCCAGGGTTTAAGAATGCTACAGGAAGACAGAGCCCTGCCCCAGACCATGCCTGCTTCATCTTGGCTAGCTCCCGCCTTGTGTGCTCATCATTCCGAAGATCCTTCTTGTTTCCAACCAGGATGATGGGCACATTGGGACAGAAATGCTTGACTTCTGGGGTCCATTTTTCTGGGATGTTTTCTGAAAGAAGCAAAATGCAGAGAATTTGGGGATACATACAATTCAATTTTGAAGAATCTCTAAGAGCTCTGGTTAAATTGTAAAACTTTCTGTGCTGCTTTAGAAGTTTGCTGGACATTTAATGGAATCTTGTTAGTTTCAAAACCACAGAAAAAGCCAAAACTGAACCCCCTTCCTTGAGTACAGAACCAACTTTTCTCAGTCCCATCAAAGAAGTCTAGAGTTGCTGAGTTCCTCTGGAGGTGGGGCTCAGGCGAGGCTCTGGAGGAGCAAAGGATCTAGAGCACAGGGTGGCTTCACAATGGCACTGCCTGCCCCAGAGAAGGAACGTCCCCACAGGCCATCCCTGTCACTGCTGCCATATGATTCTGACCTTCACTTACAGAAAGGGACCCATTCCAGGGCCACAGTGTGGCTCGAGGGCTGCACGCTCTCTATCCACCTTGCTCAAAGGCCATCAGCATGAACCCCTACCCTGTGGATTACTGACCTTTCAAATGGCTCCACAATGACTTTTGAAAATGAAGTGATAACCAGCTGCGTCTTCTTGGCAACACTGTATTAACTTGGAAAGGTTGTACTGCACATCGCAGTGGACAAGGGGCCCAGGTTCAACTCCCTACACCACCTTCGACATCTCAGCCTCAAGGACGATTTTATAAAATGGGGCTAACAGTACCCACCTTACACAGGGTTAGTTTGAGGATTCAATGAGTTAACGCCTACCAAGTGCTTAGTATGACGATCATTCAAATGGTGCTGCTATTCAAAACTCTGCTTTAGAAATAAACTGTTTACTTTCTGATTTTAAGACAAATTACCAAAATGGCAGGGGTTACTCAGGATATGGAAAGATGCTCTATCTTCTGGCTGAAAGACCACATCAGGTAGAGAAGCTACAAAAGTGAGGTCGGGAATATCTCTTATAATTCAGTGAGACTCCACTCTTCAGCACAAGACTGACACTCGACCACTTCCTTTGCTATCGCAGCTACAGGGTTGACTGTATCACTAATGTGACAACTCAAAAGTCTCCTTCTGGAACAAAGGGGTTTCCGAAGAAGTGTAGCGTTCCTGTCTTCAGAGCAATAAAAAGAAAAGGGCAGCACACATAATGGTAAAGCCAAATAGCCTCAGTGCTGAAACTTGCTCTCATCCCTGAAACTTGTGGTCAGTTTTCACTTCAGCTGCCACAGTGATTGATCCCTTTGAAAGGTAAGTGAGATCACATCGCTCCCCTGTTTGAATCTACAAGAGCTGGACTCCTTCCTTCCTGTTTCTGCTCAGGGACTTTGTACCCGCTGTTCCCCCTGCTCCAAAAACTACCATCACAAGACTGGCCAGAAGGAGGCCTGAAACCTACACACAGAGATTCTGATTCTCGGTCCAGTTTGTTGTACTACACCCAGATTCAGGGCCAGGCTCATTCAGCTCAGCAAAGGGCCCTCACCTACCTATCCCACGCTCCTGCAATGACCTCTAGGAAGGCCCGGGCATGCTTGTCCCTCAGACAAGGAGCTTAAGCTCTCTTTTCCCCTTTCCTTCCTACCTCTCCACTCCTCCCTAAGGCCTGCTCCCTGGAGGAGGAGCCAGCAAGAAACAAATCATGGCTAAAACAGAGGTCAAAAGCCAAAGACCTTTGAAACCAGGAGATGTGTTCTTAAAAGAAAAAGAGCAAGTCTGAGGAGGAAGAACTTCTTGCTCTGAGGTTACTTTTATCCCTACAGTATTATATCCTGGATGATGAAGTTCAGGGCACACAGCCTCCTCATTCCCAGAGGATTCAGGTGACATCCTCGATCTGTGGGTCTGAGAGGAGAGTGTCGCAAGACTCTATTTTCTCTGTGGCCTAAAGCACAAGGGCCTCAGCCTCCAGGCCCTTCCAACAGCCCCCTACAGGAAGCCAGACTAGTCTGAAAAGCAAAAATAATCACAACTGCTGAAAAAACCCAAAGTGAACAAATGGCAGGGAGTGCCTGCTGTTTCAGTCCTGGGGGCCACAGCACAGGGGGCTCAATCTCAGCTTGGCTCCTTGGGCCACATGGACCGTGAGCAAGTGGCTCAATGTCTCAAAGCGCCCCTAGTATCATCAGTAAGGTGGGGAAAACCATGACAGAAACACAGTCACTCTAACCCTTATTGCCTAGCACAGGCCGGGACTACCAGCAGGCCCTCGAAGGTTGTTCATGCTAATGATGACAGAGTCCTTGATCCCCTGCTGCCCTGTGATGACAGAGAACTGCAGCACCAAGCAAGGTATCTCATCATCACCACAGCACAAACTGAAAACTCTGCTTCGAACCTTGGCGCCTGGTTTCACAGAGTATGAGGTCAGCATTATTCAGTCATTTTCTGAAGTGACAGTGGCTTCTGAAGCATACGGCCACCTTGGCCAAGGGAATGGCCAGGTGCAGAGCTCCCTTTATCAGCTAAAACACTTCAGAAAAGGGCTAAAATAGGGCTTTAAAAACACTACCATGAAACAGCAAATCACCAGTCTAGATGCTGGGAAACAGCAGGCTAAATATGAAGTCCTGAAAAAAGGCATGGGCACCCAAAAGAGCCTCCCCTAAATCTTAGTCAAAGAAAAGGCTTTGTATTTGGATCCACTTGCTTTGCAATTTTAAACACGGCAGCCACGGGAGACCTAGTGAAAAGGGACCCAGGGACCATGCTGTACAGTCTCAAGGCTCCAGGACTCTGGCCCCTGATGACTCTTTTTCTGAAACTCACTCTGCTGTGCAGCCACTTGGTGCCCAGAAAGGACCCAAAAAACCAGGTGTCAGCCATGCACACAGGTGACAGTCAACATCAGGCTTCAGGGCCACTCACCTAAACTATCAGGGCTGTCAATGGAGAAACACATCAGTATAACATCCGTGTCTGGGTAGGAGAGGGGCCTCAGACGATCATAATCTTCCTGCCCAGCTGTGTCCCACAAAGCCAACTCCACCTGTGATGGAAAAAAGAGACAACCCCAAGAGTGCAAGGTTAATCCCATTTTCATAAGTGATGCTTACAACAGAACACTCAAGCGGCAGACTATCCCAAACAGCAAAACAGAGGAGGGTTCACTTTTATTAGAATTAAGCCCAAAGGTGAGTGATGTGTTTAAATTTTTCAGGATGGAATTTCTCAAAATTGCAAATTGTATAAACGGATACTAGAACTAAATAAAGTGGCACAATTCAAAATATAAAAATAACTTCGTAGCTTGCAAGAAGTGCTTAGTCATAAATAACATTCTACTTAGGAAAGAAAATGGATAGACAAGAGAAGAAATCAAATGTATCATTCTACCAGGTAGGTGTGTAAAAGGCAAAACAGACTGAGTAACTTTCTCTGACATATTTTCATTCAACTGTTCCCTTATTTTGTCTCATCGTTTTGCTCTAATGTGGAAACATGGAGACAAGCCTGTATTTGAGTTGGTGGGTAGGAAAAGACACCTTTGCCTGGGTGTTAGGCAAGGTTTGCACTGACAGGAAAAGCCTCTGGCTCTGCCTTCACTGATCAAAAAATGTCTAAAAGGCAGAATGGAGGCATCACCCAGCTGTGGTAGGAGGGTAAACTGATGCCTGCTATCTGGACACAGATTCCCTTCCATGCTGTCCAGCACTGCAACCAGCCCTGTCACTCCTTACAACCAAATGGGATGTTTAATGATGTTCTCTGCTCAAAGGCCCTTTGGAGCCCAAGAGGCTCTCCCTCCAATGCCTGTACCACCCTTTTGCTAGTACCATCACAACCCGTCGGTTTCTAAATACAATTTCTTCCTTAAAGTTGATAGCTAATTATCTCTTCTATCCTCAACCTCTGTCCCAGGATGCATCAGTCACAACTTCCACAAGTGCCACTGGCCTTCTGTCATGTACACCATCAGCTTGGTATATGTATCTATGATATACTGATACCCAATGCTCATAAATGGTCTGATCTCAGCATGTAAAGCTCATTCACTCCCTATCAAACCGCCTCCTCCATGGATGCTTGAGTGTTCACTTCAGACACACCCAACTCTGACTGGCTCCTGATAAATGTTTCTAGGGTATTGGGCCTATCTCACGTCAGAATGGACATTTCTATTTTTGGCAGGCCTAGTCCTGGGATCATGATCACTTAAAATCTTGCATGGCTCCTTAGGGCTCTGTTAGTGCATACTGCTACATCAACATTCCCAGGCAACACTCTCTACCACCCTGGGGGCTCCCAAGTTGCCCTGAAACAGGGAGCCAGCCTGCGACACCTCTTCCAGATCAAGCACCTTTATTTCAGGGGTTTGCTCTCTGGGTTAGAGGCTCCCTTATCTTGCCAGTGTCAAGCATGTTCAAGGATGGCAGTGCAAGGTTTTAAGTCAAGATCCCCAAATTTATTACAGGCAAGATCCTCGTCAGTTCCAAGACCTCCAGGCAGAGATGAGGTTTCAGAGATGACAGAAGAGTTATTGCTCTACTGCCTCCAACACACCCATACTGTCAGTTGGGAAAACACCTTCCCAGTCGATGGTCACAGACACTCTCTCTCTGAAGAGACTGGCAGGATTAAGAACAGCAATATATATATTCACCAGACTTGGAGAAAGGTGCCATGAAATACCAACCCATCTCTGCCTCCCTCAAGCCACTAAAATTTTTTGTGCACGGTGTGGCAATCAAACTTAGATAACATGGCAGTTATGTCACAGCAGTTCCAAAGATCTCAGTACATATCTACCCATTTTGTCACAACTAGGCCCTGTCTCCACACAAAATCAGTCTTCCTATCAGGCCCACAGAAACACACGTATCCAAATATTCATGAAAAGAACTGACTGAAGCTGGGTTGGCTATACTCTGCACTGCTGGACGAAATGCAGGTTGGAACCCATACAAAGTTCTGTTAGGCGGGAATTTACTGTTTTTTTTCATCCACATTTGGTCCAGAAAGGTTCCTTGGGGTTTCTAATAGCATGAGAAAATCATTGTGGCCCACTTTGAATTTGGGTAAGACAGTCTTACCCAGTCTTGCCAGTGGGCTTTACGGATGGACATAGGGAAACACTATTCTCATTGTCAATGACAGGAAATTGAAGCAACTATGATAGTCTATTTTATGTTTAAAAAAAAAAAAAAACTTGTTAAAAAATTAATGTGAGTGGGGACGTTGTTTAAATGGTCTTACTGATGGTGGTGTTAGATCAGTACAACCCTTCGAGAAACATTTTCAGTAAGAACCTCAGACCTAGTCATCTCATACTTGAGCATTTGAGAAAATACTCTGATAGAATTTAAAAAAAAAAAAAAAGGTGCATCAATACAACGGGGTTCATTTTAGCATTATCCATTTGGGGTAACTAAATTTCAAATACAAATAAAGCTGAAAAGAGCACTTATAGTAAGGCTGCCCCATGTGAAATACATATGAATGTGGACAAAGTCTCGATTATAATAAAGTTGGGCTAAGATATCACGGTGAGAATGGATTTCTCGCTTACCAACAATTTTGTTACTGTTATATTGCGTACTAAAGAGGCAAAAGGGTCTACTTCTTTATAGACACTGAAAAACCTAACATGCAAAATGGTACCAGTTGTTACGGAAGGTGTGCTCACCTGCTTTCCGTCCACTTCAATATCTGCCACGTAGTTCTCAAACACTGTGGGCACATACACCTCGGGGAACTGATCCTTGCTGAAGACTATGAGCAAGCAGGTCTTGCCACAAGCTCCATCACCCACAATCACCAATTTCTTCCTGATGGCAGCCATCACTGAAATAGAAGACATGGGTGTTATTTGGGAAGCACAAAAGTCACCATGCTATGATACACATTTTCCTGACCTTGGGGCACAAGCCTCCATTAGCCCACCCAGATACAAAATTCTAGTACACCTTTCCAGTTGGAACCAAAAAGTCCAGTATCTGGTGTTCCTTTACTTCTAGAAATAAAGATGAATCTTCCTTTCACTCACTGGATCTGGCAACTCATAAAGTAATTTATTTAACAGATGGCAGCAACAGCAAATGCTACCAGGAGAACAGAGAGGTCAGAATTATCTAAAACAGGTAGAAAACTAACATTTTCAACAAAAATTTAAAACATTATTGACTGAGGGTAACAGTGGATACATCTGGTCAGAAGATACAAAGAGTACTGAATTTTATGCCCTCCTCAAGTTCCTTTTAGAAGCCCTGGTGGCACAGTGGTTAAGAACTTGGCTGTTAACCAAAAAGTCTGCAGTTCGAATCCACCAGCCACTTGTGGAAACCCTATGGGCCAATTCTATGCTGTTCCATAGGGTTGCTATGAGTTGAAATGGACTCAATGGCAATGGGTTTAGGTTTTTTTTTTCTTTTTTGGTGGTACAAATGTTTGAGTACTCGGCTACTAACTGAAAGGTTGGTGGTTCGAATCCACACAAAGGTGCCTCAGAAGAAAAGCCTAGTGATCTACTTCTGAAAGGTCACACTCATTTAAAACCACATGCGCAGTTCTACTCTGAAACACGTGGGGTTTCCACGAGTCAGAATCAACTTGACGGTAACTGGTTTTCAAATTTCTTTCGCAAAGCAGGTCTTAGAAAACAAATCTAGTAACTGCCTCATTTATTTTTTTAATTTGAAAATAAAAGGAGATAGGAGAACATTCAACATCCCAGGATACTTTTCTCTCCCCTCTCAATTCTCCCTTTAAATTACTGTTCCAACATATGAGACTTTCCAGTTCACAAACAAAAACCAAGGTCAAATATTATGACACTTTAAAAAAACAGGTGTAAGTCCAGAGGTTACTTACATCTGCAGCCTTACTTCTCTAAAGCAGGTCAGACAAGATGGTGCCCCTCTCCCAGATACTTCACAGAGAAGTCTGAGGAAACTATCAGGTGGTGGTGTTGTTAGGTGCCATCAAGTTGGTTCCGACTCATAGCAACCCTATGTACAACAGAACGATGGTCCTGCGCCATCCCCACAATCACTGTTATGCTTGGACAGTAGAAATTCTGAGGTCAAGCCATCACCTTTTAAAAAAACCACATTCTTGAAAAGTATGAAGTAGTAAGCCCAAGGGTTCTGCACAAGGTTACCTATATTAAAATACGAATATAAGCTAGAAGTAAAATACTATTCAAGTTAAAAAATAATCACTGGCAAAAACAAGAGAACTGTTTCCTAGAGCTTTATCGTTGTTAGGTGCCGTCGAGTTCATTCCGACTCATAGTGACCCTACGTACAACAGAACGAAACACTGCCTGATCCTGCGCCATCCTCACAATCATTGCTATGATGGAGATCACTGTTGCAGCCACTGTGTCAATCCATCTTGTTGAGAGTCTTCCTCTTTTTTGCTGACCCTCTACTTTACCAAGCATGATGTCTTTCTCCAGGGACTCGTTCCTCCTGATAACACGTCCAAAGTGCTGAGATGAATTCTCGCCATCCTTGCTTCTAAGGAGCATTCTGGCTATACTTCTCCCAAGACAGATTTGTTTGTTCTTCTGGCAGTCCATGGTATATTCCGTATTCTCTGCCGACACCATAACTCAAAGGCATCAGTTCTTCACTGTCCAGCTTCCACTGCCACTGAGTCGATTTCAACTCACAGCGACCCTACAGGACAGAGTATAACTGTCCCACAGGGTTTCCAAGGAGTGGCTGGTGGATTTGAACTGCCGACCTTTTGGTTAGCAGCCAAGCTCTTAACCACTGCGCCACCAGGGCTACAGCTTTCGTATGTACGAGGTAACTGAAAATACCATGGATTGGATCAGGCGCACCTTAGTCTTCAAGGTGATGTCTTTGCTCCTTTTAACACTTTAAACAGGTCTTTTGCAGCAGATTTACTCAATGCAATACGTCGTTTGATTTCCTGACTGCTGCTTCCACAGGCGTTGACTGTGGATTCAAATAAAATGAAATCCTTGACAACTTCAATCTTTTCTCCATTTATCATCATGTTGCTTATTGGCCCAGTTATGAGGATTTTTGTTCTCTTTATGTTGAGGTGTAATCCATACTGAAGGTTGTAGTCTTTGATCTTTATCAGTAAGTACTTCAAGTCCTCTTCACTTTCAGCAAGCAAGGTTGTGTCATCTGCATAACGCAAGTTGTTAATTAGTCTTCTTCCAATCCTGATGCCATGCTCTTCTTCATAATAGTCCAGTTTCTCGGATTATTTGCTCAGCATACAGATTGAATAAGTATGGTGAAAGGATACAACCCTGACCACATCTTTTCTGATTTCAAACCATGCAGTATCTCCTATACAGGTAATGACAAAAATGTAGATTTTCCCCAAGAGGCATAAGGTATATCCTGTCTTAAAAACATGGGGACTAAAACATTAGAGAAAAAAAAAAAAAATCAATGAAACCAAAAGTTGGTTCTTTAGGGGGTAAAAAAATAAATCAACAAACTGACAAACCTTTAGCTAGAATGACCAAGGAAAAAAAGGAGAAAACGCAAATGAATACTAGGAACAGTTATATGCCAATAAATTATAGACAACTTAGATGGAATGGACAAATTCCTAGAAAAACACAAACTACTGAAAATGACTCAAGAAGAACAAGAAAATATGAATAGACCTATAACAAGAGACTGAAATAGTAACAAAAAAAAAAAAACTACCCATAAAGAAAAGCCCAGACAGATGACAGATGACTTCACTGATGAATTATACCAAACATTTAAAGAATACCAACTCTTCATAAACTCATCAAAAAAAAAAAAAAAAAAAAAAAAAGGGAGAGAAGAGAAGGGAACACTTTTAAACCCATTCTTTCCTGAAGCCAGTATTACCCCAATACCAAGACCAGGCACACATCATAAGAAAACTACAGACTAATATCGCTTATGAATATAGATGCAAATATCCTCAAGAAATACTGACAAACTGGATCCAGTAATATGTAAGAGGATTACACATCATGACCACGTGAGACTTATCCAGTAATGCAAGGTTGGTTTAATATCAAAAAATCAACTAATGAAATACATCATATCAACAGAATAAAGGACACATGATCATCTCACATGACACAACTGAAAACTCTTTTTGGATTACATTTAGCAAACTAAGAATAGAACTTCTTCAACCTGATAAAGGGCATCTACAAAAAACCTACACGCTAACATCATACTTAATGATGAAAAGACTGAAAATGTTCTCCGCAAAGTCCAAGAACAAGACAAGGAGGTCTGCTCTCATAGTGGCAATCGAATAGAAGTGCTATTCAACATTGTACCGGAGGTTCTAGCTAGAGCAATTAGGCAAGAAAATGAAATAAAACGCATCTAGATTGGAAAGGAAAGAATAAAACTATCTCTATTTGCAGATGGCATGATCTTATATACGGAAAATTCTAAGGAATCTATTAAAAAATTATCAGAACTAATAAACAAGTTAAACAAGGTTATATAACAAAAGATCAATATAAAAAAATCAACCGTACTTCTATAGCCTAGCAATGAACAATCTGATCATGAAATTAATCGATGTTTCTCCAAAGGAAATAACAGAAATGGCCAATGAGCACATGAAGAGGCTCAACATCATTAGCCATAAAGGAAATGTAAATGAAAACCACCTCACACCCACCAGAATGGCTATAATAAAAAAGAGAACTAGTGTTGGTGAGAATGTGGAAAAATTGGAACCCTTATACATTGCTGATGGGAATGTAAAACGGTATAGCCACTTCCAATCTGGCAGTTCTTCATATGGTTAAACACAGAGTTACCATATGACCCAGCAATTCCACTCCTAGGTATACACCAAAGAGAAATGAAAACATATGTCTACACAAAAGCATGTACACAAGTGTTCACAGCAGCATTATTCATAATGGCTTAAAAGTGAAAACAATCCAAATGTCCATCAACAATAGAACATTATTTGACAATAAAATGGAATAAGTACTGATACATGTGACAATATGGATGAACCTTGAAATCACTATGTAAGTGAAAAAAGCCAGTCACAAATAACCATACATTATATGATTTCATGTATATGAGTATCTAGAATAGGCAAATCCAGAAAGAAAGTAAAGAGGAGAATATGGGGGAAATGGGGAGTGACTGCTAATAGAGCAACAAGATTTCTTTCTGGGGTGACAAAAATGTTCTAAAATGATTGTGGTAATGGTTGCCTAACTGTGAATATTCTAAAAAGCCATCAAACTGTACACTTTTTTTTTTGCATACTTTTAAAATTTATCTTTATAGCATAAACATTTTCTTCTTTCTTTTTTAGAAAGTTTACAGAGCAAATTAGTTTCTCATTAAATAATTAATGCACGTATTGTCTTGTGACATTGGTTGCCAACCCCACAATGTGTCAACACTCTCCCCTTCTTGATTTCAAGTTCCCCATTTCCATTCGTCCAGCTTTCTTGTCCCTTCCTGCCTTCTCGTCTTTGCTTTTGGGCTGGTGTGCCCATTTAGTCTCATATACATGGTTGAACTATGTGTGTTATTGTTTGTTTTATAGGTCTGTCTAATCTTTGGCTGAAGGGGGAACCTCGGGAGTGACCTCAGTACTGAGTTAAAAGGGTGTCTGGGGGCCATACTCTTGGGGTTTCTCCAGTCTCTGTCAGATCAGTAAGTCTGGTCTTTTTTTGTGAGTCTGAATTTTGTTCTACGTTTTTCTCCCACTCTGTCCAGGACCCTCTACTGTGATCTCTGTCAGAGCAGTCAGTGGTGGTAGCCGGGCACCATCTAGTTGTGGTAGACAAAACTGTACACTTTGAATGAACAGTAAGGTAAGAG